AAGGGATGTAAAAAGAGGGAAAAGAAAGCAATAACACAAACCAACAGGGTGAGCGGAGCGAGCTTCGAAAACCACATCCTTCCCCTGAAATAGAGATCATTTATTCACCTGGGCCCACGCAAAGCTGGGACAAGACACCATTGTTAGGTGCCGCAAAGGGGGCCAAAGATCCAGGCGGGGCGGGAAGAGGTGTGGCAATGAGGAGCTTAGGGACAAGGGCGCAATTTTGCAAAGACGATGCTGAATGAGATGCTATACTGAACCATCTCCTTCCCCAATACCTTCCTCTTCACCTCCACCCTTCACGGTTAAGTTTATTTATACAGAAATTTATAAAATGGCACAGAAAGCTTTAAGCAAACATCCTCGAGCCCCTCACCCCGCTCCCCTCGATCCTGAGTGCCTGAGGTTGGAGCAAGCTGTTCAGGGCCGGGCAAGAAAGCCCCTACTGGCAGCAATTTCACCAGCTTTGCTCAATGGACTCATTCACTGGCTGTGATGAATGCATTGGTTCTGGCACATTAGCAGGCAGCTGGGCTTTTTCACTGGGCCACTAAGGCTGCTGGGGCATGGCAGGAGTCACACCTGCTGGTGGTCTGTCTGCTTTACAAGGGGCAGTGGGCGGGGGAGAGAGAAGGGGCCTATGGGTCTGCAGGCGAAGCAGTTTCCAGTCCCCCAAGGTCCCATAGTATGGGGCCACTCCTAGGCAGAACAGGGCTGCCGATACCAAATACTTGTCTGATCACGAATGATGCTAAGCTGTTGCAAGTAGTTGCTCCCTTCGCGCCTCTTCTTCTGCTTCTTGAGTTTCTGCTCTTTTAAGAAGAATCTGCACTATAAACAAGCAGCAAAATTTGCAAGACTTGTTTACATGAAGCGTGCAAAAAAGCGTGCAAGTGCTAAATGATAATGGCAATTTTAAAATGCCTAGCTGCTGCATCACCTGCAGTTCTATAGGTCAAGGAATTAATAGGAATTGGGTAGTTTAATCACAAACCATCGCCATGTTGCAGATTCTACATGCTTCCCCACATACATGCCATAGCCTCTTGTAGCAATGTGGCACAGCAATACTTTGCATCTAGGCAGAACCTGTCAGGATCTTAAGATGTTTATTGTGGAAAGTGGGCTTATAGAATCTGAAATGGATTTGTGTGTGTGTGTGTGTGTGTGTTTATAATGGAAGGCTCTGGAGTAAAATCAATCAATCAATCTAGGTTCTTGCAGAAGCTAGAGTCCACCATTATCAGTTTTGCCAAAAGGTATCATCTAACATCTTAATAAGGCACATGGTGAAGGATCCAACTCTGCCTGTTTCACTCACTTGCCAGGAAAATTCAGAGGAGGGTAATAATGTGCTTTAGGCACATAACCCCCTCACAGCTGGATGAGGCCCTATGATTGATTGAACAAATATTCAAGTGGAATATTTGTTCAGGGGGCCCATACCCTCAGCATTTGCACACCTCTGGTGAGAACTATCCAACCAGAAAGGGAAAGATGTGCCATGTGTCTGACCACATGGCACAAATAGCTAACGCTCCATCTTGTGGGGAGCCTCTTGAGGAAGCTGAAACTTGCTGACAAACGCCAAGTCTGGAATACCACCCAGGTGCACAGGTTCAAAGTTTTTGGTGGGTGGCATAAACGTGTGAGTTCTAGGAAATCAGCTCTGTTCTGCCCTCAACCCTGGACAGTTTTTGGCATCCTGTGCCACTCTGTTCCAGCTTTTCAAATAACAATTTCTGATTCCCAGTGCCAGTGCTTCCCTTGCTTTTAATATATTGTGGTCCTCTTTTGGGACCCGGCTGTCAGTTCAAACCATTGAAACAGGAGCAAAAGCCCCATTAATTCCTTGTACTGTGCTATCCCAAACACCCACTGCTTCCTGGCGGGTTGGCAGCTGGTTGGTTCCGATCAGCCTTTCTAGTGGCTTCCGTGGTTAAGAGGATTGGCATCGACCAGGGCTGCATGCTCAACCGACTCCTCTGAATAGGTTAACATGTCTCCTCTACCACCAAGGGCAAAGAGGACGTCTGCCTTTCAGAAGCCCTGTCAGTTCCATTTCAGATTAGTTCCATTGTTTTGGCAGAAAAAGCCATGTAAGAGCTGTCAACATCTCAGGGAAAAGGGCCTCCAAGGACTTGTTAGGAGCTGGTATGATCTGCGCTGGATGAGATGTGAAAAGTCACAGGAAGAGCAACCTTGCCAGTTGGATCATTCACAGATCCCAGCAGCGAGTCGCCTGTTGCTGGCCCCAGCCTCTCAGGAAAGTGCCAAATCCCCTCCACACTGTAACCAGGCAGATGTTTGATAATTTGCCCCTATTATGGCTTCATTTTAACTACTAGTAGGTGCCTGGAAACAAGAGTGTGAACATCCTCTGGCATTTGCTGTACCAGTTCTGGTCGCCATTCATCCCCAAACCTCTCTGACTCTTGCTGGTTTTGGTCCTGGACATCATTGAGACACACAAGCTGAGCAAACTACGGTACTCGCCTACTGCAGCGGATTAGGCATCCAACCATTTTTGAACTTGCCAGTTTCACAGCATACCTCCTCCTCCAAGGAGCAGCCCTTGACCTAATTTTCTGTCCCATTCAAGGCCAGTCTGTTCACGGGGGTAAGCCATACATTTGCCCTGGATGGTGGCAGGCAGCAGCGGTTTGAATAGGGAATAGCAGCCATGGGGTAGGAATCCAGGAAAACACATGGGGGAGACTAGGCAGGATAGAGGACCATTTGGGCTGCATTCAAGTGAGGATTCAACTTAATTAAACCATTCGCTCATCATAAGTATGAGATGAAAACAACAATTTGCAAGTATGACCACTTGGACATGTTATTACTGCACTGGATATGCCAAACTCCACAATCGGGAAGTTCAGCAGTATAAAAATTAGAATTTAATAGAAAAAGCAACTTTTTGCACCAATGAATTGTGCTTCTACAATTGTTTGCACCTGCAAAATTTGGCTCAAATGTAACTTAACTCTGACGCTGTACATTCCTCACAGGATTCGTTATCTGCTAAAGGGGATCCAAACTTATATTATAATGGAAGTGTTGACTCTTTAAGAGCCCCACCAGAGTACTAGCTTTTTTGCACCGGAGTGTGTAGGATGAAGCACAGTTGCATCTGCACGTATTTTGACTCTCTCCCTCCTCCCTGCAGCTTGTCACCAATTAAGCTCAGCCTCCAATGTCATCCATGTGTCTTGCTTGGAAGATAGCATGGGACAAGCTGAAACATCCATCATGCTGGCTTACAAGAGTGAGCAAAGCAGCAACTGGATTAACATGCCTCTGGAAGCTGTTAGTAGAAGCTCAGGGTTAGATTTCCCCAAGTGCTGCAGTGGCCCATACTGGTGTACGTGCAGGACTGAGTCTGAAGACGGTAACAGAGGATGCTGACGGGATTAGCAAGGAGTCATGTCTTTTTCACCTGTCGCAGCATCTCCTGTGCCCTTGGGCAAAAGCCTTTGTGCTGCCCTTTGGAGTCTGTGCCCCGAGGCCCATATACGTGATCCAGCTGCCCGAACACAATCATGGCAGCAGCATACAGATGCATGCTCCACCTCATTCCAGTGCACCCCCTTTGATGGGAATGAAGCGTAGGACGACAGGCTGCTTCTGGCGCTGTGTTTCTCATCCCTTCTCAACCCAGCTGGAGGGGGAACGATGGGCTACAGCTGGGAGAGAGGAAGCAGCGCAGGGGGAAATGGCCCATTGAAACCCTATCCCCACTGGGACAGCAGGGGTTGCAATTCCTTCACAAGGTCTCTTGTGAAACTTTAAACCAAGTGGATGGGGCAGGGTGGGGGAGACGGACAGCTGCAGCTACCTCCTGGGGCTGAGCCCATGCTTTGTGCATAGCTCAGTGGCGGGAGGAAGAGCGGGCAGGCACCGGGGCATCCCGCATGCAAAGGGCGCTGGAGTCGGAAGCAATAAATGGTCAAACGCTTCCCCTAAATATCCTTCTCCAGCTTCCTGGCATGCCAGATCCTCTGCAACTACGATGAAGCAGAAAAGGAGGATTCTGAGGGCTCCCTTTGAGATCATTGTGCTCAGACCAATAGCTGGGAGGGGGAGGAATATTCCCACTGGGCTCTGCTGTATCCAGAGATAGATTCCCAGGCTCTGAAAGAGTGGCCAGTTGCTGGATCAATTTCAGGGAGATGCTGGTAGCAGAGTTCACGGTGGCTTAAACGGAACAGCGGCTAATGCAGAACAGATGGGGGAGTGCTTTGTGCGTGAGCAAGCTGAGCAGGAATGGAAGTGATGCCCCTGCCTCCCCCCCCCTTCTTTGGCCTGCTCCACGCTACGGGAAAAGTACACAGGTGCACACTCTGCATGCAAGCAGACAGTACAGGTGCCTGCTTGGGCTCAAATCCACCCAATCTTTGATGACGGACATAGAAGCTGAAGCCTCATAGGCTGAATGTGGCATAAGTTGTGCCAGCGCTCACTGCTAGGAAGAGCCAGCCACCAGCAAAACAGGCTTGGAAGGACTCTTCCAAGGGTCAAAGGCTTCATTCACCACCACCGCTAGACAGATGTGCTTATATTCCCTCCTCCTTAGTCTTTGGGGTGTTGCAAGCACTGTACTTCCTACAGCTGGCCCAAGATCTGGCCATGATCTTGAGGCTTCGATGGGGGCACTGAGAGAAGGATCCAACTGGCCAATCAACTTCTCTCCGGCAGTTATCACAGAAAGGATAAGAACCACAGGCTGTCCATCAAATAGAGAGCACTTCCACAGCATCCACCTAGACAAAAGCCCAGTTAAGTTGCAGTAGTCCCACTTGGCCTTGACATATGACTGATGCAGCCAGGCAAGTCAAGACCCAAGTGGTCTGAGCTGCCTTCCCAGCCCTATGGGAGAGATGGTGGTACTTCAAGATCCACTTCCCTAGCAGATGGGTCCCAGCAGAGGCTAACACTTCCTTGGAAGCAGGCCATACCTTTCCCTGGAGCAAAGAAACGGCCTAGGCAGAAGGCTCTATTCCAAAAAAATAATTTATGGGTGTGGATAATTCATGTGCATTAGAAATGATATGTACATAAATATTTATCTCTAGGGTTATGTACAGGGGACAGCAGGAGCCAGGAGGGAAGGGCCACACCCCGCTCAAAACGTCTGTCCTTGTGGTCGTGTGTCCAGGTGCGGATGGGGTGGGCCTGAGAAAGCTGGCTGGCTCCTGCCAAATAATGAGATTTCATAAAAATATTATTAAATTGGGAATAGTATCAAACAAACAAGCAGGGCGCCCCATGGCTGGGGGGAATGGTCCCATGGGTTGGGAGAAGGGGGAGCCCAGGCATGTCGAGAGTGCTGCTCTCCCTGGGATTAGGTTCCTCCCTGCTTATCTGGTCCTACTTCTCCTCAGACAGCTGGTAGCATCCAAGGCTCAGCTAGAGCAACGGCTTTGAGGGAACCTGAGATTATAGGGCAAGAAGGCACCAGCACGAGTGCTGGGAGCACCTGCAGAAGTTTACAAGGAAGGCATCCAGTCCTCGCCAGGGAACCTTTAAGTTGCGGGTGTCCAGCAGGCTCCAGGACCCTGAGGTGCACTCTCAGCCCCTGCTGATATGGCTCCCAGCATTTTCTTCCACCAGGGACAATGTAAGAACTTCTGCTCCCAAGCTGCGTAATCCTCTAGGAATAGAGAGAGAGGAAATCCTGCCCTGGGGTCCACTGCCTGCTACTCTCCTCATGTCCGCACATTGTGGTAGGGGAAGAGGCAGGGGGTGATGGGCAGAGGGTCATGGGTGAAGACAGAGTCGTCGGAGGAGCAGGTGCTGGTCGTGTCTTCGCAGGATGGAGAATACTGTTCAAAGGGCATTGACAGGTCCAGATACTGGAGGGAAAGAGAGAAAGGACACCCTGTCAGCATTCACAAGGGACAAAGGCTTGGCTCCCTCTACTTCTGTTTCAGGGAACATAAAAGAGTTTCTGAAACAGCTGCGTTCGTGCCTCTTCCTAGTGGTCTGAACCTACCTCTTCAGAGACAGCAACCAAGACCTTATCCAGTCCCTCTACCAGCTGCTTGAAGGTGGGCCGCTGGGAAGGCACAGCATGCCAGCACTCGCGCATCATCATGTATCTGTTTGGGAAAAGGGGAGGGGACATCTCAGCCTCAGGCTAGAGCATTCCATAATATGGGATGCAAGTGCTGTGGTTAAGATCAAGCCCACAAGAGGCATAGACACGGCGGCACTTACAGTTCGTGGGTGCAGTTGGAGGGCTTGTCCATCCGGTGACCTTCTCTCAGGAGCTTGAAGAGTTCTTCCACCGGGATGCCCGGATATGGAGAACCACCCAATGTAAAGATCTCCCACATCAGAATGCCAAAGGACCACCTGAAAGCACAGTTGAGGGTCAGGGAAAATAAAGGGGCAAGAAAGCCATAAAGAAATTCGAGGTGGATATGTCCAGATTAGCCCTACACTACCACAAAGCATCAGAAGGTGGGCCTTGCCCCTGTGGAATGTGCGCTACTTCAGCAAAATCTCACGAAGATGGATTTGTGACCACAGAGGTGGAATGTATTGAAGTTACATATGCTGGAGACAGGTTACAAAGATGGACCACTTTACAGGGAGCAAGCAACTCTATGCTTCTTGTCATCTTTATGCAGGCAGGTAGGGCCATTGTGCCCTGGCTTTTCCATGCCACTTATGGTTCATCTAGTAGGACTGACAAATAGGCCCATTTGTTCTCCATACAGCCAGGATGGTTGGGAAAGGGCTGTAGCTTGCATGCAAAACACCCCAAGTTCAATTTTTTGTATCTTTAAGTAAAAGTAGGAAAGACCCCAGGGAGCTAGTGTATGTCACTGTTTCTCAAATGTGGGTCTCAAGATGTTGTTGGAGTACAACCTCCATCATCCCTGACTACTGCTCCTGCTAACTAGGGATGATGGGACTTGTGGTCCAACAACAGCCGGGGACCAAAGTTTGAGCAACACTGGTAGGCAGTACTGAGCAAGATGGATCAATGCTCTGCTTTAGTATAAGGCAACTTTTCCCTTTTAAAAACACAGTAGCTCAGCTGCTCTGCCAGATATAGGTGTGCAGGCTGATGTGATTGCAAGAGCTTTGCAGAGTCATACTTACACATCACTCTGGTGGGTGTACACCCTGTCAAAAAGAGCCTCTGGTGCCATCCATTTTACAGGTAGACGACCCTGTGGGGAGAAAAAATAAAAGCTCTCAGTTCATTGACACTTTCCCTGGACAATGTCTCCTCTTCTGAGTTCTACCCTCTAGCATCCACTGAGCAATAGCCACATATCCACTCCCATAGATGTGCTCATCCTACTTTCCTACAAGACCCTGAATTAACTGAAAGTAAAAAAATATCTCTCTTCACTAACAGGGTAGTGCAAGAACGTGTGTATGCACACACAAAGGGCTATGAAGGTTTCTCTACTACTTTATACTCCATAATTATTTAAAAGGTTGATATGCCACCTGTCAGGGTAGCTACCCTCCCAAGCTGGCTTCCATACATTGTTAACCATTTATTGTTAAGAAATACAGAGCACAGTAATTGCTCTCCCCCAGTGCCCACCCTCCGCTCTTTTTCCCAACCGCATTGCGTATTTCCAAAGCCTGTTGGCAATTCTGAGTCTTCCCCTCCTGTGCCTCTCAAATACCATCTCACTCACATTGCTGGTTTTTTTGTAGTAGTCAATGTCATGAACACCCCGGGCCAAGCCAAAATCCGCAATTTTCATGACGTTTTCTTCGGTGACAAGGACGTTGCGAGCAGCCAGGTCCCGGTGAATGCACTGCAGAGAGAGAGAGAGAGAGAGAGAGAGAGAGAGAGAGAGAAGAGATGAACCCTCTCTGAGGCTCAGGAGAGCCCACTGCAGCCCAGACTGCAGTCCAATGGCAGACACATCTGGGCTAGTGGGTTGTTGCTGCATCTACCACGAGAGTCAGGAGCTTCACTGCCTCGCCATTCACTCCTTCATCACATGATGGCTGCCCAAGCCTGGTACATACACCCCTCTCTCCTTTGGTACACCTAACCCTCATGTAACTGACCCTCGCAGGCTAGTTAAGAGCCCAGCAAAAGCTTTAGAGTGCCAATGCTTGGCTTAGAGCCTTCACTGTTGGCACTCCAACAGGACCTGCCAACGCTTCAGATGACACTTGCCCATTGGGCACCAGTCATTTCTGCTTAAGCAAGGATCCTGCTAGGGTTGGTGAGAGGGAAGCTGTTTGGGTGAGGCTGCTCTTACCCGCTTGGACTCCAGATACTCCATGCCACGTGCCACCTGGTAAACACAGGAGACCAAGTCTTTGAAGGACAGCTGCTCCTCAGGCATCTTGGTGATATCAAAGGTGTAGTCTGGCGTGGGAGGGCGACGGGCGCGCAGGTACTCCCGCAAGTTCCCCTTGGCAGCAAACTCCACAATCACATAGAGAGGCCCTGCAGTCAGGAGTTATATGTGAGCCTGTGCTCTCAGGTGCAGCCTTCATAAATCCCACACAATGTCTGCTCCTATCCTGGAACATCAGAGCTCCATTGTTCAGTTGCAGCATCCTCCTATTGGCCCCACAAAGGTTCTGGTTTCTCCTGACTTCCCAAACATCCCTGCCTCTTTCCTCACAGCACCTGGTATTCTCTGCTTCCCAGCCCAAAGAGACCATCACTTACCATCCTGTGTACAGACTCCTAACAGGTTGATTATATTCTTGTGTTGGTCCATCAGTTTCATCATTTCCATTTCTGAGATGAGGTCAGCCAAGTCCTTGTCAGTGGCATTATCTGGCAAGGCAACAGAAGGAGGTCAGACTGGGGCATCCCATGATCTAGACTAGAATCCAACAGTGGAAGAACTGAAGTCCAATGATTTAGGCTCTCTTAGCCCTGTATATTGTGGTTACCTTTGAGCATCTTGACAGCCACAGTGATGGGTCGCTCTGGCCGTTCTTGATCGATGCCGTAGGCTTCTGCTCTCACCACTTGCCCAAAGCAGCCCTCACCCAGTGGCTTGCCCAGCACAAGCCTGGGGAAAAAGAAGGGTAGACAGCCTCCTTAAAAGGACAATCTCATGTCGCCATGGGTACAGATGCATTTGGGTGGGTGGGACCTAAACTCATGGCTGTATCCAAAAGCTGGCAGGTCCCCTGCAGTGGGGCAGAATCAGATGTTAGCACCAGGTGCATTTGCAGGACCTCAACCACAACAGAGAAATCTGACCCAATGTTCTCTCCCAGGCCCATGCATGAACTATCCCAAGTGGTGAGGTGAGGTGATACATATAAGCATCATTGGTGGGCGTTCATCAATGTCTATACAGTGCATTGACTAACAAATTCCTTTCATTTCCAAGAATTCGCTAACAAGTTCATTTCCAAGAGACCGTAGCAGCTGGAGTGGGAAACCTTTTCCAGCACAAGGGCAGCATTCCCTTCGAGGCAATCTTCTGAGGGCCATATGCCAGAGACAAAGGTCCATCTTGTCTGTGAGTCCTGGAAGACCTGCTCCCTGCTGTGTCTGCCCTTTCCACCTGGCCTGGGAAGGTGGGGCCCTGACTGACTCCAGCTACAAAAGCTGAGGCTGCTGAGCAGACTCTTGGCCTGGAGTATTGTTTGGGAGGATGGTTGTTGCCATTAGTTTTTTGCATTTTATTTTAGATTTTGTTGCATTTTATGTGGAAATTGTTCAGTTTGGTTTTGTGTTTTTTTATTGTTTAATTTATTGTTTATGACTACTTTTGTTGTGTTGTAGTTATGTATTTTGTTCCATGTTGTAAGCTGCCTTGAGCATGGTTTGACCTATGGAAAGGCAGCATACAATAAAATTATGTGTGTGTAAAAGTGAGTGAGGCAATGGGTGTAAATTTTGCCATTGTATAGTAGCTGACGTACACGTACACACACACACACACCTGGCCCCTCAGTCTGAGGTTCCCCACCTTTGTTCTACAGGCAGCAATTCAAGAGACAAACTGCACGGCTTTTGATACCAGACAATTTTTATAGCTAGCCCCTTAGTCACAGAGCTAAGCAGGGTTACAATGGACTCCTCTCCAGTTTTGTTCTTTGAAGAAAGCGGTACTCTCATTCACTCTACTGCCTTCCCTCTTTGTGGTACTTGGCCACTCTACTTGCTGTGCTTGCCATCACTTGTGAGGGGGAAATAACATGTGAAACTGAAGCACATGCGTACCAGATGGTATGTGACGGCTGTGATGCCATTTTTGGAGCCACTGTGCTGGTGGGAACCACTGAGAGTCCTGTGCAGCCAGGCACACGTGAACTTCCAGCTCACCTGCTGCTTCCTCTCTGTGAACACAGACAAACCTGGGCCTAAGGACACTATCAATTAATTGGGCAGCTGTACATCATGTGGGAAGTAGCCCTTTGTGTTAATAAACACACATTTTGATACAAGTTTGGTGAGAAGGCAGTTTTGCCATTCTGACACTGGGCTTGTGTGAGTCACGCGAGAGCCTGGCCAGCATCCTCAGTGGCACATGCAGAAGAAAGCTATGCTGCACTGCACAAGACTTACCTGTCTCGTGGGAATTCCCACTTGGAGTCCAGAGGCAGCTCCACTTCCATGACCCCAGCCAGCATGGGTGTGCAGCTTGAGGAGAGGCGGGTGACACGCATCAGTGATGTGGTGGACTTCCCTGAGGAGCTGGATTCCAAGGAGAACTGTGGAGAAAGACCCAACATTCAAGTAGATTGGCCCACAGACACTGCTTCACTCCAGAGCAAGAACGGACTAGACAAGGGCACAAAGGACACAATGAAACAAGGGACAGGGCAGAACACGCACACCTAACACCAATAAGAGCCATCTACAATGCGAACAAGGTCCATCTAGCCAACCAGACGCTGCCCTGACAGTGAACAGGGAAGGGTGAATTTAACTGAACTTGGGAGAGCTGTTTTCAGAGATCTGCATGGTCTGACTGGGATTTTACTACCCTGAATAATTTGTTGTACTCCGAGGATCTGAGTACCTCACTTTGTCCATTGCTGACTCTTGGTCCGAGCCAGCAGACAACATTGTGGGCCCTTGAAAACCACTGCAGTGGCACAATGGATCCTTCTGACCCACTTTAAGGTTAGTTCTGGGTCTCTCAGTACCTACCTGCCGAATGAGCGGGAATTTGGAGAGCTTGTGTACGGCCATGGGCTCCAAGGGCTGCTTGCTCGGCTGGGTTTGCATCCGGCACAAGACAACAATGACAATAGCCATCGCGATGGCCAAAGATCCCGAAGTGTAGATAATTATATCAGTATACTTGATTTCAGGGGCATTTGCCTCTTGCACTTCTTCTTCTTCTGCAATAGCAAATAAATCCGCAGTTAGCAGGCGTTAGGGTGGTTAAACCTGCTTTGACCACAGCAGGCAGCCAGCTGGGCTGGAGGGAGCATGGCTGGGCTGCACAGTGTGCACATCGGCCTGCAAAAGCAGCCTGTCTGGACCTGGCTGCAGAGCCCATCAGTACCATGAACAAAAGACACCCCACTGATTTCAATGAGAGAGCCTAACATGTGTTTAGATCACTTTGACTTTCATAAATGGGGTGTAAAAACTTAACTCTGGCTAGATCATGCTCTCATCCTTGAGCTATCCTTGACCCATCACATAGCCGTTTTAAGGCAGTTGCCTTTCAGTGAAAACCTAGAGCTTTGCTAAACAGAAATTAGCCTAGCTCCTGGAATTTCATGCAGTATCTCTTCCACATTTAATTACATATACAATGTGCTATTTTTAAGCTCTATCCGTTCAAAGTCTAGGCAGAATTCATTTCATTACAATTCCCCACCCCACTCCACAAGATGTACTTAGGTCTTTTTGTTTTTAATCAGTGGAATATGTCTAATTTGTGGGTATTAAAAAACAGCACCTAGTCTCCACCCATTTATATTACCTGCATCTTTAATAGCTGTGTAGGAGTGTTGGTCTACACAACTATTCAAGCTGCAAGGGCCCTGTCTGATTTTTCACCTGCCTGTCCTAATTCTCCATTCAAATCAAGGGACTTAAAAGTGGCCAAAATCCAGTCTGTCTTTCCAGGATTCATACACTGAGAAGTGCAGCATCTCTTCTGATGGACTGAAGCTGTCATATTGTGATTGATATACTGACAAAAGACAACAGTAGATTGTTCTGTATAAATCTACAGTGAATAGATCTGTCATGTTGACTGATTGATTGGCAACTTAATGCAAGTGGGGCAGTGTGTCTTGCAATTTGTTTTCAGCCATTTATCTCTCTGTCTGTCTCTTTGGCACATTCATCTCATTGGATATTCTACAGGGGTACGACATGCACAGTATAGTCCCACCCCCAACCCCCAAGCGTCTCTATTAGGAAAGGTAATCTCTGCTTCTAGCTCTGCAAAGGAATACCCTACTACCATTATCCATCTTTCCTCCCATCCAATCATCCACCGTCCTTTCTCACCTGGAAGCACAGTGAGCCAAGCTGACTGGTATGACAGGCCAATGGAATTCCCTGCCAGGCAGGTATATTCCCCAGCATCTTCCATGGAGACATTGCGCAGGTACAGCACTTCCACCTCTGAGCTGTTAATATCTGCCGTCTGCCAAAATAAGTTGCCAGTGGGAGGCAGGGAGAAAAGCATTAGTTCTCATTGACACAAAAAGGTTATTCAAGCTTCTCATTGGAAGGGGAACATCTTGCTTGCTGCCAATATATATTTCAAGGGTGCATCTTTATCTGATAAATGCCTGATTGATAGTCATGTACCCCAATCTCTGGTGAGGATGTCCTAAATACGTGCACCACAGCCATTGCTAAGTTTTATTACTTCCAAGCAACTCTTCTACAGAAAATCATGTATGAAGCCTCTGGGCTTGAGACACAACAACTCTGCTGTGAGAATAAGCAACCCAACTGGGACAGTGCTAGACTGATGATGCAGCTCTTCGTGTTTGCTTGTTTTCTGGACATATACTCTAAGCCACATCTTTCCAAACTGTGTGTCACGACACTTGACTGCAGTGTGTAGGTGTGATGTGCAAACACTCCCTATGCTCCTTCTGGGGCTGGAAAGGGGTTAGTGTAACTTCTGATTTGTTAGCAAAACTGAATTACTTTGTCACATGATGATGCATGTCTAAAAAAGTGTGTCACTAACATGAAAGGTTTGGAAAGCTCTGCTCTAAGCTCACAGAGTTGGTGCTATTGAAAGTAGCATCTCAGCCAGTCTCCTCTCTTTCTTTGCAAATAAACACAGCAATCACTCTTGTAAAAGCCTTCTTTTAAGATAAACTTTTGGTTTGAAAATGTTAGGCGCATATTGCAAAATGGGTAATAGGCTATATGTGCCTATTAATATGGGTAATAGGCTATATGTGCCCTTGGCTCCACAGATGAGGGGTCAGCAACTAGGGGCCCCTGGTCTAAATCTAGCCCACTGAAAGGTGCCACTTCCTATCCAGCCCCTGCTCCCCCCACTCTGTGACCTCTGTTGTTTGCCTAAAAGTGTGGGGAAAAGCGACCTTTCTGGCAATGGAAAATCTCTGCAAAAAAAGGGGGGCTCTGGTTACCTTAAGCACTTGCACATAGGGGACTCCATCTGGGCCGTAGCTGCTGCCATTCACTTCAATGTGCTTGAGCCACTGTATGTGGGGCTGGGCGTCGCTGTACACCTTGCAGAAGAACTCAACGTCGCTGCCCACCACTGCGGTGGTGTTGGCCGGCAGCCCGGCTTGCAAGATAGGCCTGTGCGGAGATCTCTCTGCCAGGAAGAGAGCAGGGAAAGTTGTTGTCCAGCACAGCTGAAGACTGCCAGGTCCCCCCCAGAGGAGCTAAGGTCATGCTCTACAGCACATAAATCACTGCACATGGAGCTGATAGTGCTATCGCAGCCGTCTGGGAGTGCAGAGGCGCAGCCAACTGTCAGGGAGTTACCCCATCTATCAAAGCGCAGCACTTTCTTCTCAAAGCTCCCTAGTACAGCAGTATATGCAGTCCTGCCTAAAGGCCTGGTGGGATCTGAATGTCTCTCTCCCACCCCCACCCCCCACTGCCCACCATCTCCTTCCAGCCCAGCAGATCTGATATTACTTAATGCCATGGGCTGAACTCCCACCCATGACTGGCTCCAGAGCCTCTTTCCGGTGATTACAAGTAAGCCCAGAGAAGACAGATAATGAGGGGCTGAGAGATAAGGGAGCAAAAGGCTTAGAGCTAGTCCTATAGATCTAGGCAGGGCTAATTAATTTCATCTGACTTTATGGCCTGGGAGATCTCCAACTCCCTTTGAAGTCAAAAGCGGGTTCGGGGCATTTTCCTTCTCTTTGGGGGTGCCTGAGGTCAGGGTGGCGAGCCTTGTTCCTTCCCACAGGAAGCTGGCAGGCTGCCAGGGAACTGGGGTCTGGCATCCCACACAGACTCAGACGCCCTCATCGGCAAAGGAGTAAGGAGCTTTTCAGGCTGAAGGTGGGGGAGTGGGGGGGGCAGCCCACTTCCCTTGTCTTTTTTTCACATGTTGCTACGGGGGGGGGGGGGTGTCACATATCTAGATTTGGAGCAGTATGGCAGGGAGAAGTTCACCTCACCTAGCACGTCCAGGAAGTAGCTGTAGCGGATGCTGCCAAACTTGTTCTCCACCAGGCAAGTGTAGTTGCCTCGGTCCGAAGGCACCACACTCTCCATGACCAAGCTCCAGTGTTGATGCCTTAGCTGGGTGGAAAGAGGAAAAGGCAGGAGCCAAGGTTATCACCTTCTTTTAAAAGAGCTGTCCATCTCTCTCAGGGCCATAGCTGTCAACGTTTCCCTTTTTAAAAGGGAAATTCCCTTATTCCGAATAGGATTCCTCTCAAGAAAAGGGAAAAGTTGACAGCTAAGCTCAGGGCACAGCTGCTCATAGGCCAACAAAAGTCCCTTGTTTTAGACACAAATCCTTTGAGCTATATAATAAGGCCAGCAAATATTTCTTCATTTACAAAACTATTTATATACTGGTGTATCATAGTAACATATCAAAGCTGTTTAGTATCTATATATTAAAAAACATGTAACAATTTAAAAAACAGAGACCATCAGCTAACTGTTGTGAAAAGATGTACGTACAGTCATACCCTGGATTCTGAACGCCTTGGTACTCGGACGTTTTGGCTCCCAAATGAGTGTTCCGGTTTGTGAACGTTCTTTGGAACCCAAATGTCCAACAGGGCTTCCGATTGGCTGCAGGAACTTCCTGCAGCCAATCAGAAGCCACGCTTTGGTTTCTGGACATTTTGGAAGTCAAACGGACTTTTGGAATGGATTCCGTTTAACTTCTAAGGTACGACTGTATTCTGAATTGCCTGCATAATCATGGCAGAATAGAAAAGTTTCCCATAGGTGTTTAAAGGCTGGGGCAGAAGCAGCCTGCTGAATCTATTGGCAGAACACTCCACAGGCCTGGGCTGATGACACTAAAGGCTCTATTTCATGTTGGTGTCAAATGAGCCTTGCCAATGCAAGGGGCAACTAACAAAACTCCTGCAGCTTATCTCAGTGATTGTGCTGGCATATAAGGGTTTCAGCAGCCCCTAAGGTGCCCTGGACCTATGTTCTTCAGGGCTTTGTAGATTAATACCAATCAACCTTGAACCTGGCTCGGTAGCAAATGGGCAGCCGGTGTAGATATTTTAACAATGGTGTTTGCATTATGTGTTCATGCTTCATTGTTAAGGAATGGGGCACGTCCATAGGCTGACCTTTTTTAACAATGCACTGAATCGAGCTAGGGAGCAGAAGGAGGAGAAATGCAGGCAAAAGAGGTGGAAATATCTAGCAGCTGCTCTTTTGATGGAAGCAAACTTTTGCAAATTAATAGATTGATCTGGCAAGGCTAGGGCAGCCAGAGCAAAAGGGGATCAGGGGCAAAGCAAGTGCTGAAGAGGGTCCTGGAGTCTTTGGACAGCAGGCTGAATTCCCCAAACTCACAGAGGTGACCCTTAGTTCTCTGCTGAGTGGCTTGTGCAATATTGTGGATTCCTTATAGCATGTTCCCCTGTGCCCCTCTCTCTCTCTCTCTCTCTCTCTCTCTCTCACACACACACACACACACACACACACACACACATACCCCTCAAATCCTAACTCATAAAAACCTGGTGGGCAAGGCAGCTGCGGTCCCAGCCAGGTGGATGAAAAGGGAAAGGAGGGCAAGGGGAGAGATGGCAAACCTCTAAGGGGCTGGGCACTTACCCTGATCCCTCCAATCCGGTGCTCCCCTCGGAATTCCCTCCCATTCTTCAGCCAGCGGATTGTCGGGTTGGGGCTCCCAGAGGCTGGGCAGCGGAACTTGACTGTGTTCCCTGCCGGGACTGCATACAGCTTCTTGTCCATTCGGTGAGGGTGCGTCCAGTAAGGTGCTGAAAAAGGCATCACACTATTAGCTCCAGCTTTTCATTCAGGCTCAGGAGAGGCTCACACTTTAGGGACAAAGCTCGGTGTTCGGTGCTCTAACTGATGGTGGCAGCAAACCATGGATTGCTCTCAGAGAAAGGATGCGCCAATGGGATATGGGAATGGAAGAGCAGGTGTCTCATAGGGACCTAGGGATGTGCCAAAATGCACGACGGCAACCCTTCCACTGGGGAACCTCAACGTCCCACGAGAAATGAGTGTGCTTTGGGATATGTTCCAATCTCAAGCAGAGATCCCTAGTTTGCAGGCAACCGTTATCAAACAATTTTGGGACACATCGACAGCAGAGGAGGCTTGGGAAGTAAGAAAGGAAGATGTCTGGCCACCGTGAGTCCAAGTACTTACTAAGCACCCCTTCTTCACCCAGTTCCCTCTCCCAGCATGAAGCAGCACCCAGAACTGAGTGAAGCACAGCCAAGTAGGCATACTGACCTCGCCGGGTATGTATGGGCTCCTCAAGGGAATCGGCATGGGCACTCTCCACACCACTGTCTTCATCGTCATCACCAGATGCCAATGAATCTGAAAACAAAATGGTCATTCTTTGTAGTCTTGCTTCTTAAATAACCACAGGGCACTGAACAAGTGGCAGTTATCAAGGGAGCACCTGGCTACAGTGGACCAGCATTTTCTTAGCAGGAGTGTAGAGTAGCAGCCGAAATGCTAACTGGAGTGTGTTCAAAGGTGACTGGGGGGAGAGGAGGAGAAACACTGTTGGCTGCTACAGTTCTAGCTCATTTGTTTGCTTATTCTTTATTTAGTACATTTAATTATGTGCCCTTCACCGAAGGTCCCTGGGCAGGTGGACAATGCAATACGAACAGTAAAATGCAATCGATAGCAAAAAATTAAAGCAACCACCAAACAATAAAAGCATATACAGAAAGAACCACCGTGCACAAGCCTGCACAAAACCCCAGCATTGATATCAGGAGTACATCAGGAGGCAGAGAGTTTCGAAGTTTGGGGGCCACCACAAAAAAGGCCTTCTCATGTGACACTGTCCCCTGGACCTCTGAGGGTGTCAGCAGACCACCAGTGGGGCCTCTCCTGCTGATCTTAAATCCCAGGGCAGAATACAAAGGAGGAGGCAATCTATCAGGGTTTGTTTTTGTTTTGTTTTTTAAAACCAAAGTCATTTGGGGCTTTACATGTTGAAGACAAAACCTTGAACAGGCCCGGAAGTGATTAAGCAGCTCGCGCAACCTTCACAGAAGGGGTGTAATCTGAGATCTACCAGCTGTTCCAGGCAACCGTCTAGTTTCATTGTGAAAACCAAGGCGTCTATTGTAGCGTCCTTTAGGAGGAGCGCCAAGTTAAATAAATTCTTGTTGCTTTGACCAGGGGACATGCGAGGCGGCAGTGTGGCAAGGTCTGTGTTGACTAGGAGCTGCAGCAGAGCAGATGCTTTGCATGCCAAAGGTCCCTGGTTCTCTGGCATCTCCAAGTTAGGCGAGGAAGGACTCTGGAGACCCACTGCCAGTCACTATGAACCAAGGGTGGCTGACCTGTGAGTTGTGGGTCATGTCAAGCCTCATAAATGTTTCCAAGTGGTCCCTTAAGACTTTTTGCCCTTTTTATTTTATTTTTAAAAACCCACCTCTGTTTGCTGCTTACTTCTCTTACATACTAGTCTTTGCTAGCCGTTTGGGTTGTTTCTGGGTATCCCTAACACTTCCGTCCCCTTCTTACTCTTAAAAAGGGACCTCTTCTCCCCCTGGGGTGCTGACATGGCAAGAATGTCATAGAGCTGTTTCCTCAGCTCTTAAGACCTTCTTCCACTGACACCGCTTCTCATTTTTCCATTCCACATTGGACTAGGAGAAGAAGTGTTTGCACTGAGGAGCAGAAACATTACTGAGCAAACATGTGCCATGCAGCCTTCCCTCAAACAAAAAAAAAGGTTTGCCACCGTTCTGAAGAGAGGCTGGAACATCTCTTACCCACAACAGAGATGGTGAAGTTGCGCAGGCTTTCCCCGGTGCTCTGCGCTCGGCAGGAGTACAGGCCTGAATCTTCATAGGTGGCTTCCACAATCTCCAGCATGCTCTGCCGCATGTGGATGCGCCCGCTTGGGAAAAGCTGCTTGGCTTCCTTATACCATATGATCGCAAGGCTGTGGTTGGTGCTGCAGTAGAGCTTCAGCAGACTCCCAGGGTCCAGTAGCAGGTGCTCCTCCTCCGTCTCCACCATGTGGCTGTCAAGCATCTCTGTCCAACGCAAGAAGAGGGTCAGTGCAAATGACAGTGTGAGCTCACTTTAGAAACAGCGCGTGTTTAACACCCGTAACTCAAATGCTCTGGAATATGGGATAAGTAGGGACTCCCTTTACCCCAGGCAGATGCTAGAAGACACCAACATATAACCCCCATTTCCTCGCCGGACCACCAGAAGGCTTGCTTGAAAGTGTGGGAGCATGAGGAGAGTGACCCTCTGGGAGATGGTTGAATGAGTTGGTCTCACAGGCTTCTGGTTGTCCTGTGCACAAGAAACTGTGCACCACCAACTGTGCCACCCCAAGGGCACCCAAAGGGCAAATGCCAGAGCTCAAGGCTGCCTGAATTCTCCATCCTCTAACCTGGAAGCTTCATCGACCTTTCCCACATGGAACAGGATTGGTTTTTTCATTTGGGAGAGGAAAGTACTCTGCATATACAAGGCATCAACCATTTTACGTGCATCTGATTGATGTGTGACCGTGCGCACACTCATTGCGGCAGACCCGGAAGTGGCCTGGAAATGGGGTGCAATGGGACACAACAGGGTGGGGCAGGCTTATGCTCGCTCTGCTGATGTACGCAGGCCCCAGGAATTCAACCCTCCCCCCATGGAAACAGAGAGTTGCCAGTATGCCCATAACTTTTGCTGTCTCACTTGTTCTCAGAACACAAGTAGGTCGAGCCCCTTACAGGCGGATCTTCAATGTTCCCATAGTGGGCTAGCACTTGGAAGCTGATCCAATTTGGGAGTGTCTGTGCACTGAGCAGACCTGATCAACAGGAGAGCAGCTTGCTCTGGAGCAGAAATGGGAAGGTCTGGAGTAAGGGGGGGAGGGGAAACTGGACTTTGCCTCAACCCCTGGCCTCAACTAGAAATATTAGTGATTTGGGCAGGGGAGCTCTATGCGGAAGATTTTCACCTTCAACATGAAAAGTGAAACACTTCTCAAACCTGTGTTTTAAAATCATTACACAGGCAAAATTATTAGATCCAAGATTCTAAAGGAGTGGTGCCACTTTCAACTGAATTACTAAAGAAGCAACACTGTAAGTTCAAACTCTCAAATGCTTCACAAAACAGAATGTGATCAGGTATTTAATGCGGGAGGGCAATCTGGGAACCTACGGAGCCCAGTGCTTCTGCAACATGGTGGCAAGGCATTTGCACAACAAAGTATCTGACGTTTCCTGCTTCAGATTTCTGTATCTTCTACATTGGGAAATAAACTGCTGCTTGTATGTGGACATACACACAGAACTAGCAGCAAAACTGTTTTGAGCTTTTTGTTTCAATTCCTGCAATTTTTCTGTTTTCTGAATATGACACTCGAAATAAGGTCAGAATAAGAAACCATGGATCTTTCAGACATTGATTCTGCTTAGAGAGATGAAGTTAAGTTGTCATCAATGATATGATATGAACTGGGATGGAAACTAATAAATAAGGACAACTTTTTATCTACAGTGACTATGACTCTTTTAACGCAGCCCTGTACATATTTATTCAGTCACAAGCAAGTTCAAAGGGACTTACTCCCAGGTAAATATGCAAACAATTGTGTATGATAATGAAATAACATTAACTTCTTCAGTATTCTGGAAATTGCAGAATGTGTCTGTCCAAATATATTGCTAGTCCTCAAACTGCATGTTACGGGTGTTTGTGTTCTCTAGAAATATGAGTTAGTTCTGTTTCTGCATGATAGCGTGCATGATATTCTGCATGATAATATTGTTCAAAAGTCCCGATAATAAAATCTATTTTTCATTTGCTCAAATGTTGATGTCATCCATTAACAACTTTTCCTATTTTCCCAACTGACAAAAAGATATACTGTACTTGGGTGCAACAACTGCCAATGAGAGCTGTAACCTATAGATAATACTGTTATTGCCAAGGCATTTCATATATGTACCAAACAGCAGTATTTTACATAGCAAGGTATATACAATATATTTTACATCCTTACACCACAGTCCTATTCATGTCTACTCAGAAGTAAGTCCCAATGAGTTCAATGGGATTTACTCCCAGGTAAGTGTGTACTGGATTGCACTCTTGATCCTTGATGGTTAGGCTCAATATTAAAGTATCACATACCCTTCAATTTCCCCCCAAATTTCAGTTCCTCCCAAAGAAAGATCCAACTCTCCCTCCCCCAAAATATACACATGGCTTCAAGATTTCTGAAAAACTTGCAATTTTATTTGGGAGCCTTTGAAATAACTCTAGAACACCAAGTTTACCAAAAACCATGTTAAAAGTGGGGCAGGGGCTCAGAGGAAGATTCTCCTGTTTCATCCCTGACAATTACTGACTCTGTGGGGAAATACTCCAATTTTAGGGGGATTTTAGCTTGTGCTAGAAACATTTTGTGACTGGTTGAACATAGGATGCCAGGTGTACAAAAGCCAGTGACTGTATGCAGATTCTACAAATGTTGATTTGGGCGGAGGAAGCGATATCACGAAGCGATATATTTGGGGCTGGTGCTCACAGGGTGTTGGCGGAGAGCGACTGCTTAAGACCGAGACAGAGAAAGAATGAGTGGGATTTCTAAGGACTAGGTAGGAATCGCTAAAAGTATGGACTACAGGTTGAGGGAAAATGCAGTCACAATGCGTGCCGCCCCCCCACTTGCCACCTTCCTGGGGATCCTCTGAGCCCAGCTCACAAACCCCTTTGTCCAGCGCCCCCTCCTTCGCCTCCTGTTCTGTGGAGCAATGATGTCATCAAAGCCCCTCTCCTGCCAGTCCTGGACAGGAGAAAGGATCCTGGCAGACACTGATGCATGACTTCTCTGCTTAGCTCTCCCTCTCTCCCCGGCACCACATCCCACCCCGCCCCTTCTCTCTCTGTGGGGGCCCTCAATTGAGTGGTCACTCTCAGCGCCCAGAGTGACTGTTTTGACAGATTCCAAAATGAACATGTCAGGAAGCCCATGACCGCTGCCCCTCCCCCCCCAGAGCCCCTCTCCCCCAATCACCATTGTCCCAGCCATACTGCTCCTTTCCCGTGCTCTCTCTGCCCCGACTTACAATAGGGGCCAGTCCCCCTTTCAGCAGACGGGGCTCTGCCTTTGCAGGACTGGGGGAATGGTCATGTGGGGGGGGGGAGAGCCGGAAGGATGGGAATGAGATAAGCAGCCTCCCCTCCACCCTCTTCGCCAACAGGAGACTCATTTCCCCTCTCCCCTTTTCATTTAGCTCCATTCCTCCTGCTCGCTTCTCTCATGCTCAACACAAAAGGCCTTCCCTCCCCCCCTCCCCATGGCATGAGTGGGAGTGAGAGGTTTCACACTCAGCTGACTCCACAACTTCCCACCTCCCTGTTTGTCTAACCTGGATTTGAACTATAATTGCTTTGGTGACCCATCCTCCTTCTCCAAAGTTAGCCTGGGCTGCGTGGGAGCCCTGCCAGCTCCCCCTTCTCCCCACCCCTCCCCACAATGCCTCGAGAACCAGCTCAGTCACAAACCAGACCCGTTCTCCCAAGTTTGACTGATGCTAGGTCTTCCCAGCTGATGAATGCTGGCCTCCCTTCATGATGCTCTGGGACAGAACTCTGGGTGGGAGGTGGGTGGGGTACCCTGATAGGAAAATGCTGCCAACCAGAAGAGAAAGCCGTGAGAATGCTGTTATCATAGAACTGGCTCTTTCTTACTTTACATCCACCATCACTGTCCCTCCAGGAGCATCAGAGGCCTAGGTAACCCTGCAAATCTTGGACAGCAAAGATTCTTCTTTCCACCCTGAACCTTGTGGCTTCTTCATTTTAAAGGAAACAGCCATACTGGGCAGCTTCAGCTGGTAGCTGGGTAAGATGCTACTTGGAAACTTCTAAGGAAAAAAATGGTGTGTGGGGGGGACTCCATAGACACATCTATCCCCAATTTAGGGAAACTCTTGCACAACCAGGACTGGGAGGCTTTGAATCAGCAACTAATGCAACCTTGTGAATGTAACTACCTGGAGTGGACATCTCACTTGCTTGCCTTCATCACTGACCCTGAGAATATGCTCCTGTGCAGAGGGGAGGGGGATATGTTCCCCACAGCTGTTCTTTACTACCGAAGCACTTAATGTAATTGCCAAGGGTAATTTAAGAGTTTTCTACGAATATGGCTTCAGACTGAGAAAACCGTTCTGATTGGAAGGGAAGCAAGCCCCCACCTTTAGGAGAGCTTTAAATAGATACAGAGCCCATTTGATTAGGAGTCTTTTAAGAGACCCATAGAGCAAGCAGAGGCTGTTTCCAGAGTGGCATTTCAGAGGGCGAAGAGTGTTCAAACAACAAAGTTTGCATCCTAAACAAATCTGGAAAAGATTTCCAACTGGAGGACCTGATGGCAAAGATACCATCCTTTCTCTACCCTTTGTCAATCAAAATCGCACTTGAGAATAGCTCACTTTAATTCACTGAAGGGTCTGCATCCTTCTAAACAGTTTGGTGGGCCTCTTGCCCCCATGAGAAAAATCAGGAACAAATATGGAGCCTCCCAGTTCCGCAGGTACAACTTGCACAAAGGGTGAAGATACGCTAAAGGTATCTTCTAAAGGTTGTATGTTTAGCCCTGCCTCCTGTGTGACACAGCTCCTCCTATCCCTGGGGATAAACATCAGAAGTGGGGGGAGCCTGCCCTAGGACCATGGGGTTCTAGGTCACATGGGAAGCCTTCACACGCCAAACAGGCTCCCCACTTCAGAAGCTTATGGCTCAGCATGGCAGGAGAAACCACAAAACATTAGGGATGGGGGCTAAACATGCAACCCTGTAGCCACTTTCACAATGCTTCCTTCCTTCACAGAGTAGTATCTGAAGAGTGCTTAAGAGAATCTAGATACTGACACCTGGGAAAAACACCCGGCCAAAATGACTTCAAGGAATTTCAAGTGCTAATACATAGGATAGGCATTTGAAGCCCCTGTCCAGAACATCACCCACACTTTTCATCACCCACCTTTTTCTCTTGAGTATATATGGTGCCTTCTTAAAACAGAATACAGAGAATAGCCTATATGCCAACTGCTACAATAAGCTTAAGCCCACTCCCCAGGTAGCCAGGTAGGTGATGGTAGAGCATTACAATGCTCAGGGTGACAGCAGGAGCAGGGGCACATAGGCACAAATAATAATATCCCCGTCTGTTTGGTGGCAGGGCCAACAGCAGGATAAATGCCTTTTCTCAGGGATGGTGCCAAGTCCCTGGCATGGCATTTTACCCTCATTCTGCCAGGGGATGCTGAAAGTACAAAGCTAGACAGAAGGATCAGCAGTCCTAGCAAATCTGATTACTTGGAAGGGGCCAGTCATCAAAAACGCAGACCACATTGGCCAAATAACAAAACCAAACTACACAAATTCCAAATGTTGCCTTTATTACAGGGTTTATCTGACAAGAGGAATGCCTGCATTGTGTGTCTGGCTCCCTTGAAAGGGCTCCACAAAGCAGAACAACTTCAGTTATTTTGACAAAACACCAGTTCAGACAACTTGCACAAGCAACATCAACCCTGCTATATATGTCTAACAACGTATTTGTACTATACTCCCATCATACACAAATGCATACAAAACTGTTCGGCTGCGCTTAGTTCCATCTTGTAGTTACCTACTTAAAACTGATAAACAGAATAAAGGACTAGACAATCAGGAGGGGGGAAATGAAACTAGACCCAAGGGAGAGCTATGGTCCTGGTTTGTAAAGCAGGAAAGCACATGACAGAGACACCCAGGGCAGCCAAGGGGAAATTAGGCCCTATCAAGACCTTGCTCTCACAGGCTGGTTACTATGGAAAAATCTTCCCCTTCCCTGGCACAAAGTGTTCCCAGGGAATTCGGGCTAATCTGGAGGAAATTGGTATTTAGATTGTGCCTTAATGTACAAGTAGTCTCTGTTTGAGGCTGGGATCTCTTATACGCTGGAGCACAAAGCAAACACCTATGTGAGCGCTCTTTGTGCCCCCTCCACCAGCACAAGGACAGCCTTTCAAACTGTACTTTCGACTCTGCAGCCATCACCGCTGCCTGCGCTCTGTGTAAGCGCAAGGAAGGGGTGGAGGGAAGGAAGAAGCTGGGAACTCAAAAGCACCGTGAACCATTCAGATTTGATTCCAAGCCGATGCCGCCGCCTACACACACCACACCAGAAGAGGGTGGACGTGCTGATCACACAGAGAAGTTAAGGCTAGCAGGTTAGAGGAGAGCAGGCTTGCAACACACTGAGGCACTACACGTATAACATGACTTAGGCCAGTGTAGATGGTGTATTGGATGTGGGAGGGCTGGTTTCCATCTCTGCCACAGATCTCTCTCTCTCTCTGTATTCCCATGTCAAGGCAAACACAGGAGAAGACCATACAAGCCTCAGAAAATGAAAAGTGTCCTATAAACACCGAACAGTCATAGCCCCTGAATAGATGGCCACCCTGACTCTTGCACCCAAACACACCCTAATCTTTCTGCTCACCTGGTTCCATCATTCCTTCAGCAGAAGCAGCTGCCCAAGCACATGTTGTTGCCACTGCCAGGAACCTGAGAAGGCCACACAGCAGGGCTGTCATCCTGTTGTCTCTTCTTGTCCCGCGGCTCCCACTTGGATCCTCCAAGCCTAGATTGAGAAGGGAAAGGGGTTGTCACTCCATAGAGTTTTCCATTGCAGTGCAGAACAAAACAATTGTGTGTCCTATGTCCACAACCATCTAGAACTCGCAATAATACATTGGGGGAGAGGTACAGCAGTACCTGTAGCCATTCCAGGCTGCTGGACATTTTCTTTGGAAGGAGGGAGTTGATTTGCCAATCAGCACAGAAGAATCTGATTGCAACAATCCCGGAAGATGCCCAGTCCTGCTCGTGAGACATTGTACCTCAGTGGTAAAGCCAAGCAGCACCAAGTAGGGCTGGGAGAGGTTTCTGTCTGAAACCCTGAAGAGATGCTGCCAGTCAGTGTAGACAATACTGAGCTAGAGGAACCAATGGGTCTGACTTAGTAAAAGGCAGCTTCCTATGAGATGTTAATGTGAAACAAATTCATTTCCTGGATAGAACACTGCCTACAGCATTGCACTATAATTCTACAACCCTCATCTTGAGCATTAGGTGGCCTCTCAGGGAGATGCACCACAGGGGCTGGGTGTCACCTAGCCAGCTCTTCATGGCCAAAGTCCACCAGATTATCTTATGATGGTTCCTGCCTGGAAAAGACAGCCCCCATGGATAAAAAAATGTAAATAAATAAATCAGGATTCTTGGCCTTTGGCATGACCCTGCCACCCCAACTTGCTGGCCAACTCCTGCTCCTATTCCTTTCTCCCCCCCCCCCCCGTATCTCAATGGTACAACCTTCTCATGCACTTTGATAATGACCCAAGGAGCAGAACAAACCATGGGGTGGGGAGGAGAAGAAGAAATACAAAGTGGGGCAGCGAAAGGAATTCTCGTGCAGGACGAAAGCGAGTTTAAATTTGAACACGTGGTGCTTACTGGTACTAAACTCACGGCCGGAGCGTGCGTGCGTAAAGGCACTTCCACTGCCCAGCTGCACACAGCATACAGTCCAAACTAAAGTTAAGAAGCCGATTTAAAAGTGCCGCCGAAAACCACGAGGTTCGAGGGCACAAGCCCCGTTCAATTAACGCAAGATTTCCAACTGCGCTTGCGGCCGTGGATTGGCGCGGATGGGCAGGCGCGTCCAGGGCGCGCGTGTCGGTGTGAACAGTGTGAGTGCACCGCGCCTGTGGACGCGTGTCTTGCGTGCAACCTGCATATCTGGGCGCCTGTTCCCTGGGAAAGGAGCGTACGTGGTGCGAGTGGAGAGAGCAGCGCCCGAGAACAGGCTCCCGGGGGCAGCTTAATCTTTAATCCGAGCGACAAAAGAACCTCTGCGCGCCCGGACAGTTTGGTAACAGATTTACAGACCCTCCCGGTCAAAGTCCACCGCCTCCCCGGGCGCGGGGAGAGCAGCCCTTCGCCCCGCCACACCCCGGGGAGCCTCCTGGGTCGCGGCGGACAAGAGACCCGGATCTCTCTCCCCGGGGGCCATTCCTAGCCCCGCAGCGGACAACGTAGACGGAGCCCACCTCACCTCTTGCCGCCGCCGCTTCAGCGCTGTCCCGCGGCTCCGTGCTGCGGCGCGCTCCGCCCGGGCTCCATCCCTCGCGGGGCAAGCCGGCTGGGGAAGGGAGCGAGGCTCCTCCACTCCCTCGCTCGCTCGCTCCCCGGTGCCGGCGAGTCGCGCGGAAAGTGGCCGAAGAATAAATCCGACGGCCGAGCGCGGCGGGCTCCACAAAGGTTCTTCGCCGGCTTGGTGGGAGCGATCAGCCCGGCCGCGCTCGGCTCTCTCCGCCTGCAGCCCTCGCGCCTTCTGTCGGCTCCAGCAACAGGCGCGGGGACTTTGTAGCGAAAGCTCTCGGGTTACACCCCCGCGCCGCGCGCCGCCGGCCCGCTCGGAGCCAACAATGGGCCGCGAAAAGAGCCAGGGCCGAGGGGGAGGGTCGCAGGGGCCCCGCCCCTTGTCCCCTCCCCCTGCGCCCTCCCCCGCCCGCGCCAGGGCCTTTTCACACTCACATTAGCTAAATTCTCTCCCCCAAAGCTCCGGCAAAGGGGATTAAGCGGAGTTCATTCTCTGCCGGGGCTTTGCTTCCTCTCTGCTGGCAGCGGTAACTGGAGACACCACTCATTAAACTCCTGCTCACAAGGAGCGCGTCGTGGAGAGGGTGGGGGGGCCCTCTCGGAAGACAGCGGGGATGTGTGTGAAAATAATTAAAACCCCATGGAACCCGGCGGGGAGGGGCGGGGAAAAAAAGGATTGTGCACTGGTGTACATTCAATAAAGCGTTTCTTAACTGGCCGCCAAAAAAGCAAGAACTTGCATTTGTAGCCAGAATGGAGTTCGACCTGTGGAACTCACAGCTGCATGATTTTTATTAAGCAAGGGAGATAAATTCGATTCTTTTGTCTTTCTTTAAGGGTGCTGGGAATATCCAGATTTCACCTACCAACTCCATAAAGTTTCTAGGTAACCAGGATCAGAGTTACACCTGTTATCTGCTGCTTGTGAGAGACATGAGTGTTATTCCATATGGAGAGATAGAGGCAACACAGAAAAGAAGCTCCTCAGCTTGATGCCAGGAGGCCAGCATGTCTCTGAACGCTGCATAAAGTTTGGACCCAATTAACTGCATCACTTAGCTTAGTGGGAGGATGTGTCAGAGATGACTTGTCGCATGTTAAGCCAAAAATCATTATGGGAACTTGGAAGCAGCTGCAGTTACCGGGAAGCAAATGGTTAATATGTACACAGACAGCTGCACATGGACACAGCTAACTGATTCTTTCTGCAAGACCCTCTGTAACCCAACCAGGAATTCTAGGCTTTGGCAAGGAAGGGCTGGGAGAGTAAGTTCTGGTGGGGAAAAGATGCATAGAAGTTGTTTTAGTGCAGAGCTCAACACACACAAGAGCATTGTGTGTCAGAGTGTGTGAAGAATGCTTCCCCGTTATTGCAGCTACAATATAAGCGACTGTGTCTAGCTTAGTTGGAGTAGAAAGTGTGATTTTTACTTTCAAGCTTTGGGCCTTCTTTCTTAAAGTGGTGTTGTGAGATATACCTCTAACCTACATCAAGGCTCTCATCATCCCTTGCCATTTGGCCATGCTAGCTGGGGCTAATGGGATTTGGAGTCCAACATCATCCAGAGAGCCACAGGTACCCCACCCCTGGTCTACAGGATCACAAACTGAATAATAGATTTGTAGAGTTGGGACCTTAAGAGCCATCTAGTCCAACCCCCTGCAATACAGGAATCTCACCTAAAGCATCCATGACAGATGGCCATCCAACCTCTGCTTAAAACCTCCAAGGAAGGAGAGTCCACAACCTCTTGAGGGAGTCGGCTGAATAATACTTCCCTTGATCTGGACACTATACAACTGTTGACACAGCCTAGAATAGCATTAGCTTTTTTGCCACTGCATCACACTGATTAGTGCATCACATTTCCATACAACAACATCACCAATATATTTGTTTCTGGCAGCACACATTATCCCCCCATTCAAAAATCTGGACTGGGCAAAATTTGTTTTGATTCTGATGGGCATGTACTGAGAGGATGATGCTTTAAAACAGGGGTCAGCAAGGTTTACTGGCCATGGGCCGGATCACTCCAATGGAGATCGTCCGTGGGCCGGACTGGTGCAGCGCGATGCTGGAAATCGCTTCTGTGCATGCCCAGACGCAGGAAATTGCACCTGTGCAGAAGCGATTTTCGGCATTTGGACATGCGCAGATGTGATTTCTGGTATCTGCGTGTGCGCAGATGCCATTTCCGGTGCCACTCGGCGAGTCCCTGCACCGTGCTGGTTTAGCGCAGTACACGGGGGACTTGCTGAGCAGGCAGCTCGGTTTTGGGGTGGCTCATAAGCCGGTAAAACAGTTTTTGTGGGCCGCATCTGGCCCATGGGCCGCACATTGCTGACCCCTGCTTTAAAAAGAACATAAGAGCCTACCAGATCAGGCCAATGACCCATCCAGTTTAGCATCCTCTTTTTGCAGTGGTCAACCAGATGCCTATGGGAAACCCAAAAGCAGCCCCTGAGCACAACTGCCCTCTTCTCACTTGTGATTTCCAGCACCTGACATTCAGAAAACATACCGCATTAGACAGTGGAGGCTGAACAGTGCCTGCATGGTTAGCTGCCACCAAAAGCCTTCTTTTAATGGTTTCCTACCCCACCTTTTGGAGAATATACCCTTCCAAGGCAGATTCAAACAAATCAGTTTAAAAAAACATTACTATTCTTGTTATACCAAATAACAGTTGGGGGGGGTTACAATGTTAAAGCAGCAATGGAAAATAGTTCTTTAAACACAACCACCATAAAATCATCCATGTGTAGACTGGATTTTTATATATATATAAAGCATTATGTGTGGTCCTAAAGGACAATGGAGAGGTGTGCATATTAATTTTCCTAGAAAGAGAGTTGAAGAAACTGGGAATACCAGAAAGAAGTCCCTGTCCGTGGCACTTCTGGAATAGCTCAGTCAGTAAAGCATGAAACTCGGGGCATGGATTCAAGCCCCAAGTTGGACAAAAGATTTCTGCATTTCAGGACCCTCATGGTCGCTTCCAACTCTACAATTCTATGATTCTCTATACTCACCAACCTAACCACTTTCAGCAGTGGACCAGAGAGATACCTGCATTGCAGGGAGTTGAACTAGATGACCCTCATGGTCCCTTCCAACTCTGGGATTCTATGGTACTCACCAACTAACCACTTTCCATGATGGGCCAGAAAGATGGTCTCAGATGCTGAGCTGTAAGAACCATCCTACACTTGGGGTCTATGGCCAGGTGCTAATAATCTGAGATTCAGATGCATGTTTGGAAAGGGAAACAATGGGATGACAGTGAATTATCAGACCCCGCCCTCCCCCCACCACACACAATCTTTTCAAAAGAAAAAGAAAAACACCAGCAGAGGCTTTCTCTGATGCTCTATCACACCAGGAAGCCTCCAGAGGAGCCACATTGTCTGTGCTTGTTATCACAATGTGGGGACGGTTATCCACATGAAGGAATTTGCCTCATTGCTCTTCCCAAACAGCTAAGCAATGAACCATCCATATTTCTCACCCCACATCTTCCTTGTGTTATAAAAAACTAGGGTGCAGACATATAGCAGACACACACTCCACAGAAAACCAATCCTTCACCCGTCAAAATTTAGGGAATACTCCCTGAGAGAAATTACACTTTATTTTAGCATACAGAACAATCCCCCAAAAAGACATATTGGCTCTCCTAGTGACTCTAAATATTTATTCTGCAGAAGGAAATACCTTGGAGAAACCTTTCCCAATAGTTCTTTCATTCAAATCCTGTCTTAAGAGCATATTTTGTGCATGAATAGGGAGGGCCTGTGACTTGGATTCAAGAACTAAAGTATTTATCATCTCAAAACAATGGCCAGACTGCCCAGGTAATGCAATCATTATCAGGTATCTTGGCAGGCAGGAGAGAAGCCTAACTCTCAATTTTTTGTGGTTGACCACCTCTTTCTGTGATGCATGTATGATGCTTTTAGGGTGGTTCTTGGCAAAAGGGTTGGGCAATGTCTAAAGTCTTTAAAGGTTCCTGCACACTTGGTTCTTGTTCTCTCACCTCCTTGCAAGGAAGCGGGGAACTCTATTGCAACAGAAAAATAAAAATCTGCTTTGCTTTCACTGGATCCTGCCTCCATCCATTCTTCTCTGACCAATCATGGACTTGGGGGACTCAGAGTCCCTTGATGGGGAGTTGGGCTGTAAAAGCCAACCCCCATTTTTCCTACAACACTCACACTGCATTGCTTGGCAAGCACAACATGGATGGATTCACCCAGTTTTGGGATATATATAATCTATCCAACAGCAGCTCCGAAGCTTCCAGGTTGGCTGTAGGAAAACCCTTTGGAGCAACTTGCCAATATGCTCTCTGCTGCTGCCTTTGCCCATTAGCCATTGTCTCTTGGTGGCAAACTGCAGATGGAAGCACTGGTGGGGACAGAGGAAACAGTAAGGCTGGTTAATATAATGAGCCAGAGGCAAGCTGCCCCTCCCCTGCCCTGTTTTGTCATGGAAAAGCTATCACAAGATAGCTAATTAATCAACAGCAGTGGCAGCCTCCCAACTCAGTTTTCCATGCTGAACAGGGGCTATTGAAACTGCAGATTAAATCTCTCCCTTAAAGTGAAGTTGCATCCAAACAAACTCAACATTCCAAAGCAACTACTCCCCCCTCCTTCCCCAGCTATTCTTCCTGAGCAGATCTTCATCTGTGGAGGATCCTCCTTTCAGGCAAAGCTTTCCATATCAATAGGCTCCCAGAATGGGGGGATTAGCTATGGCTCCCCAGTCCCCAGGTAACTGTGGCCTTTGGGCTTAGTGGATGAGCTTGCTTGCCCGCAGAGCCTTCCTTGGGTTTTCTTCCTTCCTTTCTTAAAGGGTAAGAGCAACTGGCTCAATAGTTTTACCTGGGGTATAATATGGGGAAGATGCCCTCCACCCCTTTACACCCTCCTGAGATCAGGGAATGGTTGTATTCAGGCAGAGATAGCTCAGTTGGTTAGAGTGTGGTGCTGATAACCACTAAGGTTGCAGGTTTGATCCCCATATGGGACAGCTGCATATTTCTGCTTTCAGGGGGTTGAACTAGATGAATCTCAGGGTTCCTTCCAACTCTATAGTTCCATGATTCTATGAAAGAGGGCAAGTGCAAATGCCTCCATCACATTATGGGTTACAAATTTTAGGTGTGTCTGTCTGTGAATTAGCATGAAACGTTAATACTGAGTCTCAACTGCATGTGTAGGTTATTGCTGTTGTTTTGCTGCAGGGTTATACACACCCTAGGAACGTGAGGTCATTTGTGCCTTTCTGTCACATGCACAGCTTCATCACCATAAACAATGACATCTTGCGTACTTTTCCAAGGGAATTCAAGGTGGCTAACAATCAGAAACTACAGTCACAAAATATAAAGCAATTCACAATAAAACATGAGCAGAAAACCCAAAACCCAATAATAATTACAAAACAGCCATCTGAATGGAAAGATCCAAATACTGTACCCTAAGGAGGAAATATTCAACCAAAGGCCTTTTTAAACAAACACATCTTCACCAGCCATCTAAAGGTAGAGCTCACTTGGCAAAGGCTTTCTACAGGGTGGGGAAAGGACAGAAAAGGCCCTAGCCAATTAGGCCTCATAGTTGTGAGGGGTGCAGAGCTGGGGCAGGGTATCCCAAACTTGGGTCTCCAGCTGTTTTTGGACTACAGTTTCCATTATCCCTGACCACTGGTCCTGCTAGCTATAGATGATGGAAGCTGTAGTCCAAAAACAGCTGGAGACCCAAGTTTGGGAAACCCTGAGCTGGGGGATGATTGGAGCAGGTGGAAGAAGGCTGTCCTTCAGTGAAACAGGTCCCAAGTGACAGAGGGCTTTGAAGATTAACAGCAGCACCTTGAAATGAGTGCAGAAACAACTCACCAGGCAATGCAGGTCACAGAAAACTGGTGCAATAGACTCAGTGCCTAACACCTGTCAACATCCCACCAGCAGCATTTTTCACTAGTTGCAGTTCCCAAAGGGCAGCCCTATGGAAAGTGTATTGCAGGTCACTAGGGCATGAATGACTCTAGCAAGGTCTGACATTGTCAGGAAAGGTCACAGCAAACTGGCCAAAGCTTGGAAAAGGCACCCCTTACGACTAACACTACTGGCATGCCTAACAAGAGCGCCAGGCCAAGGAGTATCCCCCAAGCTATGAACCTGATCTTTCAGAGGCAGCAGAACCCCTTTCGAGAGTGTAAATGCAAACCTATGGCAGATGGTTCTTCCGCCAACAGCATTTCAGCTTTGTCTGGATTAAGTTTCAGCTTGCTCAGTCCCATCCAGTCCTTCCTAGCTACCAAGCAGCCATTCGGCTTTTGACTGACTCCCTCAGATCAAATGAAAATGAGAGATAAGAGCTGAATGTCATCGTCACATGCACTGAAGATCCTGCAGGTTCAGCCCTGACATGTTGTGCAATCCACATGTGGGTTTTAACCTCCTTTCTAAGGAGAACTGCCTTCCATGGTGGAATTATGGAACATATGAAGTGATTTTATCCGAGAGGAAGCCTGTTGGGGGAGAGGAGAGAAGGAAAATAACCCCCCTCCAGCCTAAATGTGTGATATTGGCCTCCCTGAAGGGGCCAGAGGGCTTAGCCCTGGAATCTGCAGCCAGGGCTTAACTCTGGAACATGCGTAAAAATCGTCATAATGCCTCTGAGTTCCCAATGTTGTAGTGTGCTTCTTTCACCATTGAGTAAATAAGAGCAGTCATCTGGGATTAAGAGGGAAAACACTTGCAGGTGAGACCAAATTGACTTGCAACCTCCAGCACTAAAAATTCTTTTTTTTTAAAACCCCTCTGTCTGGAGAGTTATCTGTTCCTCATAATCCTTTTGCTAGTAAAAATATGCTGCTAAACATGGGCTATGGAGTCAGTGGCAAAACTGCATTGCATCTTGTGCTGTCCCCTATCAACTGCTTCTAACAGGTCTAAGCCCTTGCTGCTGCTGCTGCTGTTTTTTAAAGAGCAAAACATTTCTGGGTCTGCTGGAAGTTAAGAGCTTTCTTGATGCGAGTCCTGAACCGCAGCAGCTGCCTGATGGACATGGATAGGAGGCAGAGGGGATTGTGTAATTAGGCAGAGAAATAACAGAGGCAGAGAAGCGTATAATGTGCTCATATTCATCTCCAGGGCTTGTGTTTGCCGCTGGAAGTTCCATCGCGTCCGGACAGCAAAGCTTGCAGGCCTTGTTCTGAGGCTGCCTTCTGCATTCCAGCGTAGCCCTGTTGCTCGCATGCATTGTCCACTAGCTCTGAGAGCAACCTAGATTTACAATGCAAATTACCCCACGGGTTATGCAAATCACTTTCTTCATAAAAGCCACATACATTGCCCTGGGGCAATCCGAGCCCATGCTTGGTTTTGCTCTGATCCCACAGGAAGTGCTGCGCTGCCAGTAGGGGTCTGACACACAGAAAGCAATTCAACACAAGCGGCCCTTTATTATTATTAACAAACATTATGGCAGCTCCGAGGGGCCTCCGCTGAGATTGGCACTCAAGTGGCAGGGCACTGCATGCTACAAAGAAAGCCAAACACAATCCCTACCTCAAGGATCACGGCAGCAAAGGACAGAAAGGGGGAAGGGCAAGGGCTGAGCATAAACTGTGGCTCAGGGAGGGGACACACATGGGTCAGCGGACACAGGAGGTTGGGGATGGGATCCAGAAGCAAATGGCAGTGGAAAAGGTGGAGAGAACACCAGCCTGCAGTGTTACTCCTCGGCTTAAGCAACCCGGGTGGAAAAGCTCAAGCTATATAAACTGTTTGACACTGGCGCGGCACAATCTCTCAGCAAGTGCATGTTCCAAAACAAAAAGTTTATACAGTGCTAAGTGCTATAATTACTTTGAAATTCAGGAACTCTTACTCGCACGCAGACATCGGGGGCGCACATGCTCTGCCGCGCTCTCCAGAATAGAAGCACTATTTACGGAAATGTCCCAGACTCTGGGTGTTAGATAGGAGAGTGATCTGTGCAATCTCTCTGCTGGGTAGATGGTGCATGGTGGGTTGTTTTTCCTCCCTGTGATCTTTAAAGTGCTGTGGCCTGACACGCCAAAAGCACTGCAGTAAACAGCCCCTGCTTTGTTATTATTATCAGACATTATGACAGCACACAGGGCGCCATCTGGGCTTGATACGCTGCATGGGCCTCCAGTGAACTACTCTGAGGCTAAGCACAGAAAGGGCAGGAGCACACAAACAGTCAGTGCCAGATGCAGGAACGGAGATATATATCTCCATATATATTTATATATATATCTCCCTGCATATATATATGCGCACATGCATGCCTTTTTGGGCCATAGCTTCAGCATTCCAGAATACTTTTATCCCTGCGGCACACTGCCCACTTGCAATTATTGTATCAGTTACAAAACCATTATGAACTACGTTTGTATGTTATCTTACATCACATATTATTGTCATTTCATGCATTATGTTATATTTTATTGTACTGGCATCATGGTCACTAGCTTCCACTGGGTGGAAAGGTAGGATACAAATTTAGCAAGCAAATACTCAAATGCATGGCTTCAACCGTAGCTCCTGTTCCTGAACAATACCCAGCAGTATCCTGCAAGTGCTGCCCTTTTGGTATCTATCGCAATCCTAATCTCAGACTCAAGGCTATATATTTCCAACCCTTGGCCTGCTCATGATCATATAGTTCTGCAAGATTGATGTGTGTAATGCATGCTGAGTGCCATAAGCATATCAGTCCATGGACTGGGGTCATAGTTAAACTATGGAACTCGCTCCCACAAGGAGGCAGTGATGGCTGCCCACTTAGATCGTTTTAAAAGAAAACTAGAACCGTGTATGCTGCCTTCAGCTCATTGGAGTAAAAGCTGGGACATAGATGCAGTCAACCAACCAACCACTCCAAGCGCCATCAGGTAAAGCAGAACACAACCCTGCTCTTTGTCCCCTGAACATCTAGGGGAAAGGCTGAGAACACAGGAGGTTGCTCTCCACCAGATCAGCCTGCCTGTCCAGCTAGGCCAGTATCATCTCCTCCACTCTGACGGGCAGGGGCTTAGGCTGAAGAAGTCTTTCCTCCCACCACCTGATGCCAAGTGCTGAACCTGGGACCTTTTACATGCAAAACATGGGCTCTGCCAGTGAGCTATTTATTACTTGCAAGGAAATCTCCCTGCCCCAGTTTTGTTATATAGGAGCATTCAGAGTGTGATTCTCCCACTTGCATTCCAAAGTGGTACAGTCTACTGCTACATGACCATGCAGTGTGTAGACCAGGGGATGTCTCCTCCTTTATCTTTCCTTACTTCCCTTTTCCAGTGGTGGACTTTGGGGTCTCAAATTTCAACAGTGCCCTGTGTGATGCCAAAATTCAGCACCCATCCCGCCTCGTGCCTTCCATTCTTCATCATAGTTGTGGTGCTCCCAAGGCTCTGCGCCCAGTGCAAGCAAACCAGTCACACACCCCTAAATCCGCCTCTGCCCTTTCACTTTCTCTGCTCTGCTCTTGGTGTTCTGTTTTGTCCTCTATTGGGCAGGGCAGAGAACCCTATTTGCCTTATTCTCAGTGTAGAACCCATCTGATTCAGCAGCACTAAGGAGTTCATGGAATAAATCCCTTTTTTCCAGCTCCTCCCAGGACAGCTATCCCTGGATGGAGGGTGGATGGGCTATGGACAGTCCATGCTGATGGGATGAACTCTGCACATGCCCAGGGGCCCTCTCTCCACATATTTCAGGGCTAAGGCCTAGCTTTGAAATTACATTGTGTGTTAGCTGAACCGCAGGTCACCTTGAGCTCTGCTCTAACACGTGAACATTTCGCTCCACAGCCAATACAGTTTTCTCCAGCCTGGGAAAGAAGCTGCTACTAGCAGAATAGCAAGAAGGGTGATCTGGGAGGGAAAGAGCACACTGCTCACATTATATCTGTCTCTTTGCCTTTGCTCTGATTCAAGGTCTTGCGCATCAGGTCTACCTATCCTTCCTGTCCTTTATGGCGTGCCCTGTGGTGGAGGCAGCT